TCTTGCGTCAGTGCTGATCCACAAGTTACTAAAGTTACTCACTTTCAGACATGCCTGACAGTCCCTCCGAATCGAAATAAATCAATATCCTGAATTATATTTTACTCCAGTAACTCCAACAGTTCACTGAACCGAGACATGTTGGTGCCACTGTTCAGAGAAGTGATGAGCACGAGCAGCTGATACTGCGTATACCGAACGCCCAGGGACAGCGGTTCTCGAATCACTAGTATAGAACCGAGAACTGTTTAGACTGAGCTTGTGTGTAATCTTCGTGCCAGTTATTCAGCCAATAATGTGTAGGGCTGTATATTTCATCAAAAATTGTGTCTAGTACTATATTAATACAAATGTTTAATTGGCATCTTTTTTCAAACGACCCGACCGACCGCGACCCGAATATCATTAAAAACATTTTTGGATGACCCGTAACCGCGGGTGACCGCAGGCACCCGCTCATTTCGGATCAACCCGCGCATCACTGACCGGCGCCCTGTCAAATAAGTTGCAGGTGGGCACCGAACTTTGAATGGCTATAACTCAGGGACCCAGCGGCCTAGCCACACCAAACTCAGGTCAAAGTAAGGTCCAGAGGGGCCCTCTCCAACGGGCCCCAGCCCGTGCGTCTAGCGCCCCCACAGGCCGAGATACGGGGCCCAACAGGAAAGGGTGCACTTCAGAAGGAAGGGTCCCAGAGCCTCGGCACTCTGGGGTCTGAGAGGGCCCCTAGAGGGCCCTCATTCCTCCGGAGGACGATCCGCTGGGACTCGTCATTTCCGAGATATAGTCCGTTTTGTTCAAAAGTCCCTCGTGTATAAGTGGGTGTGTCTCGGGAGTTGAGCCGAGTTGGAGCTCCAAACTCCGGGCATTATGAGGGCCCGTGGGGCCCCTTCTACCCCCACCGTCGCCAGCTCCTGGGACCTTCCGTTCCCGAGATACGGCCACTTCCGGTCCAGCTTTCTCAGAAACCACGCCGACTTGGAGCTCCAAACTCCGGGCAAGGGAAGGTCCCCATAGGCCCCCCATGATCCCAGAGTATGGAGCCCAAAGTCGGCTTGGTTCCCGAGTAACGCCTGGTCAAAGATGGGACTTTGACCGGATGTATCTCGGAAGCCACGCCCAGTTGGAGCTCCAAACTTCGGGTGTGGAGAGGCACCCAGAGAGCGGTCAATTATTAATGCACTGTTTGAAGGGAAGGAGGAATCATCAAGCCCCACAACTAGCGAGGCCTCAGTCAGCAGCTCAATCTCGGGTGGAGGACAGCAGAAGGCCAGGAGTACAGTCGCTCTCACGTCCTCCTCTGAGCTTCTGCAGAGGTGTGACATGATCGAGCGGCAAAGAAGTTCTTGATGGGTTCGACTTGGACTTAAAGTATGGTTGACCCCAAGTCCGTAATCGCACCCCTAGCTGATCGTAATATACATTTATTATATCCATTCAAAATTATATTTTATTCCTATCCATTATATTTCATTTATAATAAATGAAATATAATATTCATTTATATATTTCTTTGTCATTTCTGTTTTTATTGTGTGTATATATAGTTGTTTTTACTTTACTTTATAGTAATGTAATTTTAATAAAATACAATTTCCTTTGAACAATTGTTTGATGTGATCACAATACAAGCTAAGACGTCATATCCCAGAGGGCTTTGCATCAAAACAAACATGGCTGCACCCTCAATGTTACAAGACACACAAATAACACACAAATATCTCTGAAAAACCTCGACAGATTTGGAAATACAGTATATTTCAAAAAATGAGAAGAGTAGACCATAATGCTATTTACAAATATTTATTTAAAATAAATTATAAGTCCTCCTCTTCTTCATTGCCGGCTAAATACTGTAGAGAAATAAAAATCAAATGAGAAGTTAACACAATTGCAACGGAGTTTGACACATTGAATACCTGCATGTCCATTACCTCGTCTCCATCCTCCTGTTGTGGAGGGAGTGGGGCGTCTCCATCCTCCTGTTGTGGTTGTGGAGGGGTCGGGGGTGGACAGCGTGGCAGATGGCGGGGCATATTTGGGCTGTCGGGTGGAGGTGGAGGAGGAGGAAGAGGACGAGGAGGACGACGAATATTGCCTGCTCCTCTGTTCTCCTCTGCCGAAGAGGTATATGCTCACTGTCCTGCAAAATAAAACAATAAAACATCTGTCCAAATGCACATCACACAATAATCTCTGTCCATAACAGATACTTACTGATGTGTAACCATAATCCGACGTCCAGCCGCTGTCACTCATTTTTAAGCTGAAACATATACAGTCTATTATTTCTATCATTAAACACAAATGCTGCATATACTATTTTTTTTAAGAAGAAGACTCTTATAATCGATACGCCTGTATTTACTTGATCAGTGTGTAATGTTACCTGTCATGTGTTTTTGACCAAATGAACTCAAATAAAACAATCCTGCATTTATTCAAAATGAAAATATTTAAAATGCTGCATTTTTTGCTTGACATGGAAAGGAAAAAAAGGGTACAGTTACAGTGATTCTCTGCTTTGGGAGTGTGAATTTTTGCACAAGTTTCCTATCAATATGGGTTTATGATGTGGGATAAACATAGATCCAAATAATCAGCTTCTGTTTATAAAATAATCAAATAATCAGGGAGCTGTTTATTTTGGTTTTTTAGCTGTTTTCTGTAAAATTGAACGTTTGGGAGTGCAAGTGTGTGTGTGTGTGTGTGTGTGTGCCTAATCATTTTTCACCTTTAATAATCAACCTGTCATGTGTTTCGGATCAAATGAACACAAAATCCTGCATGTATTCTAAAAGAAAGTCGACATCCGTCCCCCTTTTTTTTTTTTTTTTTTTTTTTTTTTGTTCTTCGTACCTTGCTTAAAACATCCGAGATCAAATGAGACATCCAAGATAATATCATGGTGCTAATCATGATCCGTCTAATTGGCTTTATGCACAGCTGCACTACTTCCTGAACTTCAGCCATCTCCTTAGCTGTGTCCCAAAGTGAAGGCTGCGTCCTTCGAAGGCCGCGGACTTCGAAGGATGCAGCCTATTCGTACTTCGGCACCATGTAGCCGTAGGATTTGTAATTGCGCTACCAGGTGTTCCCCATTATGCTGTCGCCTAGCAACGCGGTGATAGGAGAGCTACAATTCTACACGGCAGAACACTAACGTTACTTGTTGAAATGGAGCAGGAATATATTATTTTTATTTTTATCTTTTATGTTTTACTGGAGGAGATGGTGAGGATGTTTCATCCCCGGCGCCGCCGGGTGATGTATCTCCGGCTTGATGAAGACCGGGTCGAGGTAAGGGAGTGATTTTATAATGTAGTAACTTATTTGCTTCATCCCAATTCAGAAGTTGCGAATTTAATTGCTGCAGAACACTTTAAAATGTACTTAATTGGGTGTACTTGAGTAATGTAATGATACTTATGAAAATACTAAATAGGGACACATAAAGCTGTTCGACTGTTCATTTATAGCCTATACCTTACGAAGATGCGATTTTTATGGAGTTTATTTCTTGGTCAGAGTGATCTTATTTATGCATGTTTCATGCGTGTTTTGTTTTAACACAATTGAAGTATAAAACACCAAAAATAAATAAATAAAGTGAAATATGTTGTTGTTGTTTTTTTACAATGCTGCAATGGTACTCCTGCTCGACTTCTGCAGCCTTTGATATGGGACGCATCTGTAAGCAATAATTCCTTAATATTGTGAAAATAAATCGTTACAAAAAATAAGCTGCGGTTGACTGTAAGCAAGTAGGCTATATACATTTACTTTTACTCTTCAATGAGCAAGGTTTTAAATATAACTAGTAACATTTCCCCTATGTGCCATTATTAACTCTTTTGTTTCTTTCCATAAATCAGACCAGACCCCTGTACTGCAGGATAAACCTGAATGTGCCTGTGCTGGACAGGTTTTTTAATGACATGGATACACGACCTGATTTTCGGCTGAGCAGGGAGGCCCTGAGAGTTCTGCTGGACCTGTTGGGGAGTGAACGGCAACACGGATGGGGTTCCACAATAGAGACCCTGGTGTTTCTTTTCTGGCTGGCGTGTGGCACATCATACAGGGTCGTTTCCGGAGTGTTTGACATGCCTCGTTCCACTGTCCACCGCATTGTCCACCGGGTCGCTGAGGAGGTGGTGGCCATTCGCCACCAAGTCATTCACTTCCCCAACACCCCAGAAGACCTGGAGGCAGTTTGCCGTGGGTTTGCAGGGCTGGCCAGACACCGAGCTTTCTTGAAAGCTGCAGAAGCAATCGACGGCTGCCATGTCCGCATCAAGCCTCCAAGCGGCCCTGATGGTCAGTGCTACAGGAACAGGAAACTGTTCCCGTCCATCATCTTGCAGGCTGTTTGTGACCATCAGGGCCGCTTTATTGACACCTACGTTGGCTGGCCCGGGTCAGTACATGACGCACGAGTGCTTCGGTACAGCCCACTGTACAGGAGGTCAGTGTACCCTCCTCCAGGGCACTTCATCCTCGCAGACGGAGGGTACCCATGTCTCCAACACCCGCTCCCCCTCATCACTCCATACAAGAGGCCAGTACGAGGTGTGGGAGCCCAGCGCTTTAATCTTCATCATTCCAGGGCACGCTCCATTATAGAGCGTGCTTTTGGGATGATGAAGACCAGGTTCAGGGCCATCTTCCTGAAAGCGCTGGAGGTGCACCACACCTTTGTACCTCATGTAAATGAATTGAAAATACAGCATGACATCATTGAAATACATATTTTTTCTAGACCATATCATTTCTTGTTATGTTTTTTCAATGCAGGTCATCACAGCCTGTGCCGTCCTCCACAACATCTGCCTTGGGGTTGGTGACATCATGCCCCCGGAGGATGAGCATGAAGAGGATGATGCAGAGGATGAGGGGGAGCATGGTTTGGAGACTGTCAGTGGTGCTCCCTGGCGAGACCGGCTGACTGCAGAGGTGTCTGCCCTGGAGGAGGTTCCCATCGACCACGACTACTTGTAACAGGCAAGAGAAACCTCAAATGAATGTCCATAGAATGGGTTTAAATGTTGAAATATTGTACGCTTTGAATTGAAGACACAAGTTAATTTATTTTATTCTTTCCTCTTTTTTAAAATGATCTCAGTGAGATGGCAGCCGTCGATTAAATCAGCCCTGCAAACCCATTGAAACAACTTAGTGGATAGAGGAAATATGCACTCAAACACTCTGGACTGGAGCCCATCCCAGATGATGTTCCACCAGCAGGAGGTCTTACCAGGGTCTCTATTGTGGAGGCCATCCTGGCCCAGCAGTACCATCAGGGTCTACCTGTTCAGCTGAAAGCATACATTTTGTTGTTTTTTGTTTTATCTATCCTTAAATTGAATTGTTTTCCTATTGTTGTAAATATTTGTGAAAAGAACTTATAATAATAATTTAATAATTTCCCTTTTTAAATGCAAAAAAAAAAAAATATATAGAAGTCAACAATGGTCAGAAAAATAATACTTGTTTTATTTCCTAACATAAACTTGAATAACAAAAATAAACAATTTACAAAAATAGCCTTGCCTCATTTATAAATAACTTAAATTTCACATATCAGTGACAAAAAACATAAAAAAATTTAATTATTGTTTTTCAATCATTCTCTCAAGTAGAGAAAAGAGTCTGTCCATCCGTTCTGTGGTCTCTTGGGCTCTCCTCTCCTCCGTTTCCCTCTGAAACCTCATGTCCTCCCTGATAAGCTCAATGAGCTCATCATTGCCTCTGCCTCTCCTTCTGTTGGCTGGTGCGGCTGGGGCTGGGGCTGGGGCTGGGGCTGGGGCTGGGGCTGGGGCTGCGGCTGGGGCTGGGGCTGCGGCTGGGGCTGGGGCTGGGGCTGGGGCTGGGGCTGGGGCTGGGGCTGCGGCTGGGGCTGGGGCTGCGGCTGCGGCTGGGGCTGGGGCTGCGGCTGGGGCTGGCCCTGGCCCTTTAACTTGATCAGCCACTGCTGAACTTGGCCCAGGTTTGTCCTGAGGGATGGAGGCAATTAGGACAGGGGGGTTGTTGGAAGGCCTCTGTCCCAAGACCTCATCCATGTGGACAAACCAGGGCCAAGTTGCAGCAGTGGATTTCCCGCTCACCCCCTCACCAGTCCCAGGACACTTGCAATCCTATAAGGCAGAGCACATACACCATACCTGCTGTTAACAACAAGAACACCACAATACATTACAGCAAAGATGTGTAAATTAACTTGCTTACTTTGTACTTTTTTTTTTAAGTTGTCCCATTTTCTTTTGGCCTGCAAGGGAGTGACCTTCCCTTGCAGGTCCATTTCCTCCAGAATTCTCCTAAAAAAGGAGAAAAAGAAAGACTTACGAAAAAATATTAAGACAGGGGTGCAATCTTAACATTAGAAAAATCACACAGCAGTACATTCACACAAAGTACCCCAGAAATTATATTCCTGGATCGTCAAGTTTGCTTAAAAACTAAGTGAAAGACCTTATTGCCTTAACTTATTCTTGTCTCATTGCTGTGGGCTTTGTACAGGGTGAGGGCTAATTTTTGCTATTGCTAGTGGAAATATTACAAATGGTTAATGATTTTACCTCCAAGCCGCAGTGGCCGAGTTTTTGGCCCCTGTGAAGAGATGTTCATTTTCGGCCCGTAACTTGATAAATTGAGCGGTCTGCTCCTTGGTCCCTGAAACAAAAAGTATTACAACAGGTTTAGCCTCAGACCACCTGATAAATGAAGCTGCAGTTTGTTTGTTTTTTTATTTAAGTTCAGGTTTTTTTTAAGAAACTCCATGAGGTGAACACTTCTTTTGCAAGCTATTTCGGATAAATTAAATAATGTTTTGCAGACACTGCTATGTTCACAGGAATGTTTTATCTACCACATTTCAGCTGGATTTGTGCTGCGGTTTTATTTAGTTGAATATACCCTCCTACTAGAACTTCACTGCACATTTTTTTAAAAATATTTTGTCTTGTTTGTAGTTCAAACATCTAAAACTTCTTAAAATCAAGAAGCATTTAGCCTAATAGACAAATAAAACATTTCTTGTTTTGGGGAAAAATAACTTAAAATTAAGTGAATTTTTGCTTTTAAAGGTGCATTGCGCAACTTTTCATGTTAAAAATAGCCGTTTTCTAACCCATACATGCTTAAACAATCGCCTGATGGGCTGAATGAGCCCTTCTTTGATCACTGCGATCGCCTCTATAATCCTGTACAGTGAAATATATAAGAGGGATTCGGGCTCGAATCTGAGACTGGGCGTGACGTCATGCGCGTTCACGCTCGCCCGGCTATATGGCAGATTCGTGGAGCTATTCGCCGCCATTCTCCGTATCAGAGAAGACAACTCGAGCGACACAACTCTAGTCAGCTTTCCACAAAAGTAGACGATGGATTCAAAGGGGCTGTTTACGCCTGGTCACTTCATGCGTTTTCTGTGATCGGATAGCTATTCGACCGTGAAAAGACAAGGGTGTAGCCTAATAAATGCCCTCCGAAACGCATTCGAGACGGATTTGAATCCCATCGCTCAAACCACTTGAGGACGTGGTCTGGGCCGCATTCCAGACAAAACTGGACAAGTGTAAATGCATCTGGTTGTTGAAACCAAGCTACAGGTTATGTCATGTTATTTTAGTCATATATGACGACGCGCATCACCTCAGATGAGCAGCTGAGCTGAGCCCCTTCATCAAGTCAGCGCCGCAATCTATCGCAAATCAAAGTGAAAGTAAGTCGCAGACGCTTAACACTACCATCTTCATTAAAAGTAAAGAAATGAACTGATCTTACCAGGCCTGTTGCCGATCTCTCTTATTGCCGTCTTTGCTGATTTCGAAATTAGCCGATGATTAATAAAATCCAGCTCATATCTGTTGCTTTCGGTGACGTGCACTTCATTAAATCTGTATATGGCGCGGAAAGAGACCGGCTTGTAGCTCATTACAAACCCCAACGCAAACTCCGCGTGAGACAGAAAATAAAACTTCAGTCTGTCCAGTGCCAGGCGTCGGAATAAGACGAGAGTCGACATCGGGAAGCTTTCAACAAACGGAGAGATCTCCGGTCTGCTCTAGGGCTCAACGGGTCTTATACAAAGTGATAACTGAACGTGTTTCCATAATAATTCAATCATAAGTGGATACAGTAAGCACAGGGAGATAGATGGAAACAAAAAACGAAGTTTTCTACTATCCCCGTTTCCCCCTCTCACACACATAAGTGTGTAATTTACTCGAATGCCTTTCCTTTCATATATTTTAAATGACTTGCAGATTTATTACTGGATTACCTCATTATGACTGTAACAAAAGATGTGTGCCGCACAGTGTGCTCCTTAGGTTATGAACAGCTCGTGCAAACGTGCGTATGTATGTGTGTGTGTGTGTTCCTCCATGAACGCGCACAGCTCTGGTTGCAGTTTCGCTTGTCGCCAGAGGGGGCGTAGTTCTGCAAAAACTCAGAGACTTGCGTTTAGCTCCTTTAACAAAACCATAATTTGCTAATGGGTTAAGCTAAATAATCTTAAATGAAACGATTATTTTACTTACACCCTTTGGCAGATTTTTTTTTTTTTTAATTATTACATTTATACTAGAAACAAGACCAACAAACTAAGCAAAAACGGCATTTTATAATTTAGTATTTGCTTCATTTAACTATAGGGGTTCAGGGCATGGTCCATATGCCTTATATTTATCGCTAGCTATTTTAATAAATGAATTCACAATACTTACATTTATAACTGAATTCCTCGACACCTGCCATTAGCACCTCGTCACCTGCTCGTTACCGGCACGCTGTGAATTCTGGGGAAGCGTAGGCCGCGAAGTGTCCATTTTTGTACACTTCGTTTGGCCGAGAAACGAAGTGCGCATTTGGGGTCGCATTTGAATGACATACCAAAGTTGAGCAGCTTTCGTCGCGCCACGGTGACGCAATTGGCCTTCCAAGCGTGCAGAGTTTGAATTGGGACAGTCTTCTTAGCACTGCTGTGACGCAATCTGCTTTCGAATGCGGCCTCCGAAGGGTGCAGTGCTTGAATTGGGACAGTCTTCGTCGCACCGCTGTGACGCAATCGGCCTTCAAACGCGGCCAATCGGCCTTCAAATACGGACTTCGAAGGACGCAGCCTTCACTTTGGGACACAGCTCTTGTTTCCTGTCTGCCATTATTGGACACATTGATTAATTCAGGTGTGTCTGATTATTGTTGCAGTGACTACTGAGGTCAGGCACACCTGGATTAATCAATGTGTCCAATAATGGCAGACAGGAAACAAGGAGCTGGCTGAAGTTCAGGAAGTAGTGCAGCTGTGCATAAAGCCCAGTGGTGTAGTGCAGGGTATACGCAGGTATACGGCGTATACCCACTTCCTTTTCAGTCGGCATTGCGTATACCCACTTCTAAATCCCCTCTGATGCGCATCATTTAGTTGCTAATCCAATTTCGTGAATGAAAAAAAAAAACACCCAGTTAGAGTCGTACCCGTAATATTAACTCTAATTTGTTGCTGCAATGATTCTCCCATCGCGACGATAACTGACCTTCTCATCTGATCTGCTTCAGCACTCACCTGCTCGTCAATGTCAAAATGCTCGTGAGACCAATCAAAGAATGCAGGATTTTTGTTCATAGAAGCGCGAGCTGAGTGCGAATCCCAACGCGACGCTTCACTTCAGTTAACGACAGTGCGAGATAAGATGCAAGTAGCTCAAATTTACGGCTGTTTTTCAATAGACGTTTTAAATGACCGACAGAAATAATCTGTTTGATTAAAGGCAGTGGAAATTACAAGCTCAATTTAACAACACAAGCACCCTATTAAATATATTGCCATTATCATTGTATAACGTTAAGTATATTTGTATCACTGTTTGTATAACTCCGTCTGTGTTTACGCCACTTGCATCATTAAGCCAGAGGGTGGCGACAAGTGACTGTCTTTTTGAGTGAGGAATTGAACCATTAATTAAGTTAACAGATTAGTCCAAAAAACATTGATTAATTTAGGAAAGAAAAGTCGCTGAAACTGGAACTGATTCTCATGTTTAAGAATCTGATCAAATAGGCTACTTCATGCTTTTACAGCTATTGTTGTCAATTTTTTTGGCCATCAAAACACCTTAAAATGCTCATTTCGAGATCAGGAAAATCAAAATTTTCTCGGGGGGGCATGCCCCCGAACCCCCCTAACAATACAATTTATGGGACCTGGCACCTGGGTATTTAGAAAACTATATGTGCGGCCCTGATATGCAAGAATACTGATTCTATGTGTTCTATTGTATTCATAATACTCTATTCTATAGTCTTGCATATTGAATACTAATGCAAGACTAGTA